AAGTTTTTGACTATAATCTCTTCAAATATTTTCTTGTGTCCTTTCTCTCTCTCTTCTCCTTCTGGGACCCCTATAATGTGAATGTTGCTGCGTTTAATGTTGTCCCAGAGGTCTCTTAGGCTGTCTTCATTCCTTTTCATTCTTTTTTCTTTATTCTGTTCTGCAGCAGTGAATTCCACCATTCTGTCTTCCAGGTCACTTATCCATTCTTCTGCCTCAGTTATTCTGCTATTGATTCCTTCTAGTGTATTTTTCATTTCAGTTATTGTATTGTTCATCTCTGTTTGTTCTTTAATTCTTCTAGGTGTTTGTTTCATTCTTCTAGGTCTTTGTTGAACACTTCTTGCATCTTCTTAATCTTTGCCTCCATTTTTTTCTGAGGTCCTGGATCATCTTCACTATCATTATTCTGAATTCTTTTTCTGGAAGGTTGCATATCTCCAACTCATTTAGTTGTTTTTCTGGGGGTTTATCTTGTTCCTATATCTGGTACATAGCTCTCTGCCTTTTCATCTTGTCTATCTTTCTGTGAGTGTGGTTTTCGTTCCACAGGCTGCAGGATTGTAGTTCTTCTTGCTTCTGCTGTCTGCCCTCTGGTGGATGAGGCTATCTACCATGTGAGTTTTTTAGGGTTGCCATGACAGAGCTCAACAGACTGGGTGGCTTAAACAACAGAAATATATTTCCTCACAGTCTGGAGTCTGGAAGTCCAAGATCAAGGTGTGGGCAGCTTGGTTTCTTCTGAGGCCTCTCTCCTTAGCTTGTAGGTGGCCATCTTCTCCCTTTGTCCTTACATGGTTGTCCTGCTGTGCTTGTCCGTGTCCTAATCTCTTCTCGGACACCAGTCAGGTTGGATTAGGACCTCATTTTACCTTAATGTCCTCTTTAAAAGCCCTGTCTCCAAATCATCACATTCTGAGGTAGTGAAGTTAGGACTTCAATATATGAATGTTGGGGGGCACAGTTTACCCCTTAACGTACACAGTCCCTGCCCTTGCTGAGCTCCTATCCAGAGGGGAAGACACACATGAGGATAACACTTGGGAGAAAGGTCACAGCCAGCACAGCTGTTAGCAGCACATGGAACACAGGGGCGGCATAGAGACACCCAGGGAGGCTTCTGGGGGGAGGTGGCAAAGGCACTGAGCACTGAAGGATGAGCAAAGTTACGGGCACCAGTAAATGGGTGTGTGCAGGGAGGAGTGAGTGAGTGTCAGGACAGGCCCAGCACACCCAGGAATGCTGGTTTATGACCACATCCTTTTTTTTAAATTAACTTTTTAAAAATTGAAGTATAGTTGATTGACAATGTTGTGTTAATCTCTGCTGTACAGCATTCAGTTATATATATATACATTCTTTTTTTCATATTCTTTTCCATGATGGTTTATCATAGGATACAGAATATAGTTCCCTGTGCTATGCAGTAGGACCTTGTTGTCTAGCCATTCTCTATATAATAGCTTCCATCTGCTGACCCCAACCTCCCACTGCATCCCTCCCCCAACCCCCTCCCCCTTGGCAACCACCAGTCTGTTCTCTATGTCCATGAGTCTATTTCTGTCTGTTCTGTTTCATAGATAGGTTCATTTGTATATGACCACATCCTTGATAGAGTTTATTTTCTTAGGATCTGCTGAGAGCATGGACCACAGACTGTGTGTATGGGGGGCTGGCACTGGATTTGGAGACGGATGAATCCAGGCTCTCCCTGAACTTCCTTTTTTTTTTTTTTTGCGGTGCACAGGCCTCTCACTGTTGTGGCCTCTCCCGTTGCGGAGCACAGGCTCCGGACGCGCAGGTTCAGCGGCCATGGCTCATGGGCCCAGCCGCTCCGCGGCATGTGGTATCTTCCCGGACCAGGGCACGAACCCGTGTCCCCTGCATCGGCAGGCAGACTCTCAACCACTACGCCACCAGGGAAGCCCTGAACTTCCATTCTTTTCTGTAACGTCAGGCTAGTGGCTCCTCCTGAGCCTGCTGGGAGGGTTGGTGATATCACGGGTGTGAACACACTTGGCCAAAGGCAGAGCAGTGTAGACGTGTGCTGTGAGATGGGTAACTGGGAAGCCGGTTAGCTGCCATCTGGTTCACAAAGCTGTACCCAATCATGCTCATTACATGATTGGAGGCAGGAACCCAAGCCCAGGAAACAGCCTTAGCAGTGGTCCAGCAACATCAAGTTGGCCCCAGACCTCTTCTTTACAGCCGTGGACACTTATATCCCGGGGGTGGGGGGCGAATCTTCCTACGTGGAGTACTTACCATGGCGTTTGTTTAGCAAAGGATGAGAGCATTTGGGTCAAGAAATGGCTCATTTTCTGGGGACGGGGTTTGAAGAATAATAATGAATATTCACTGTGCAATTGATATATGCCGGGCGCTGTTTTAGGTTCCGTGGTTTAGTGTGTTCCGTGTACAAACTCATCAAATCTTAAGTGTAAGACGTGGTGGCACCATTATCACACCCGTTTTACAGATGAGGACACTGTGTCACAGGGAAGCCTAGTCACTTGCCCAAGAGCTCACAGGTTGTAAGTGGCTTAGCCGAGACCCAAACCCAGGCTGTCTGTCCGGCGCTACTGTCTGGGTTTTAACCCTCTGAGCTGTGGCAAAGTGAGGGGACAGCTCCCATCACCCTCACCAAGGCTTTCCAAAGAGTGGAGCTGTTTGTTTTCTCACCCTGGGATGCTCTGGGGATGCCCGCTGGGAATCTGAGATCCCCCACCTGCCTGAAGGAGGAAAGCGTGGTTCACCCGAAGGCCAGGCTTCTTAAATAGCCAAGGCCACCCTGGAACTTGAGCCAGGACACCTGGGCTCTGATGTCAGCGAAGTGGGACTTCGCGGCTCACCTCTGGGCCGGCTTGTGGGCAGGTTGGGGGGAGGACTCACAGACAGCCAGCTCCACCAATAAGAGGAGGTCTTCATGCCAAGCACTGCCTCCCGGCTGCAGGGCAAAAAGGGAAAGTGATGTCCTGCAAGTTTCTCTCCCTCCTCTGACTGGGAGAGCCCCTGGTGCAGGGCAGGGCCAGGGCAGCTGTGTGCAGTTTGTCCCCACCCTCCACGCCTGGCCAGTCTGCACCCCCTCTGGGTGGCAGAGCCTTTAGTGCTTTTGGACTAGGATGCCTTTGCAGCTCAGGTACTCCCCAGACACCAAGGACCCTCCCAGTTGTAGCTGCACATTTGTGTGGACCACCTGGGTCCTGGGGCCTTTTGAGTTTTCGGCCCCCATGGGGAACATGGAACCATTTTAAATGAAGGGGGTAGATCACCTGATCCACTGTGAGTTTTAGCAAGATCAGGGAGACCCTTGCTACAGATGAGGAGACCAGGGTGGATACATGGAAGGGCCTGAGTCAAGGAGGGGGTGGAGGAGGAAATGAGATGATGAATATGACACCTCACAGGATGGCACAGGGGATTCCTCACTGCACAGCAATGCAGCCATGCTGCCCCTCCCACACTTTAGGCCCCAGTTAGCTCAATTATTTTGCTTCTCCCCACGTCCCAGGGCATCCATGTCTGCAGGCTTGGCTCAGTGCCCTCCCACCCCGCACCCTTCTCTGTCTGCATATTCCCCCGGCTTACTCATCCTGTAAGAGTCTGCTCTCCAATCACCTCTTCCAGGAAGTCTTCCAAGATCAGCCCCCCTGGTTGGCTCGGTGCCTCCTCTGTGTTTCCCCAGGAATCCTCAGCCATCGCACGTGATGTCATGATCGAGAACTTCCATGTTAGAGTCCTGCTCTGGACCCAGCTCTGTGAAGGGAGCTGGCCAGCTGGCCAAAAACTGTTTCCAGAAACAGCCAATTCTCCAAGCCGCAACCCTGCATGATTGATATGCAGAATGAGTATTGCGCTGACTGATTCATGCACTCAGTAAATAGCCTAATTATTCAGGGTTGGCTTTTTCTTTTGCAAGTTTCAGGTCCCTGTTGAGCAGATCCCTTCCCACTGTTGTGCATTCCGGGCTGGATGTTTTCATGAGCATTTGACAATCCACGCTCCCAGTGCTTCTGCCATGATCCACAGCTTTAATTTCAACATGCGCTTTCCATTAAACCCAGGTTGCCGGCTTCTGGTCTTTTTTTTTTTGTGGACTTGAGGCCACCCTGGCCTTCTAGGGGTTCTGCGTACCCCAAGCACGCCATCATTCTGCCGGCCTCTGCACATGTTTTCTGCCTCTGGGAGCAAACAGTCAAGGCAACCTGTCCTACACATGATTTAAGGCGCTTCTCTGACATCTGGGCAATTCAGCTACACAGTGAGTTAATTCCCATGACGTCCTGGTGTGCATGAGGGTCTTGCCTCCTTAATGCTTTCACTGAGCCAGCCTGGCTGGATGAGCAGGGCAGAGTAATGACCAGTGGCAAATTCTTTTTCTTCCAAACCCATAGCCTCGCCTTGTTCTAGAGCTGCAGGGCAGCCCAGGTCCATCTCCAACACGCTGCTCGGGGTTGTGTGTTTTCTATTCCAGCCTCAGAATAACTCTGCAGGATAATCAGGGCGGGATCAATCGCCCATTTCGCACTTGTAAACGTGGTAGCTCAGAGAGGCAAAGCGACTTGCCTAAGGACACACAGCTAAAAAGCAGTGGAGTCAGGGTTGGAACCGCACCAGCCTTCTCCTGTGGTCAGTGACCTTTCCATTTGTCCCAGTCCTTAGGGAAACTTGCCCTGGGCTCATGCCTTGCTCCCCTCCCAGCACGCTGGCCTTAAGAGGGACTAGAAAAACATGCCAAAGAAAGAATCCAAACTCAGGGTGGTGATTCCTGGGAAGACAAGTTTCCCTTTTAGGGCTCTCCAGACGCTGTGATGATTTGGAAAGGGGAAAAACATTCACTGCCCATTTCCTGTTCAGCAAAATACAATTGCCACATTTCCTGTTCAATGCTCCCGCCCACCCTCCCTCCGTGGACTCTGCCTCCTCATTTAGGGAGATGCCGCAGCAGAGCCGGGCTGGAAGGCACTGGGGGCCGAGCCAGCTTCAGGGAGGGCTGGCAGGTGGGTTGTCGGGAAACATGGACTCTGAGGAAGCGCACTCAGCTCCTGTTGCCCGTGACCCGGGCCGCCCGGCGCCTCCCGAGTGTGCCCATCTGACGAGCGGGACGCCGCGTGGGAGGAGAAGAAAGGTAAACACAGAAACTGGCCGCTGTCTGGGCCACAGAGGCACTCTGACTGCTTGAAAGGCCTCTGGCCTTGAGTCCTGGCCTCTTAGTCCCTGTGACCTTGGCCGTGGTGCTCCAACTCGTAAGTCACAGCTTCCTGGGACCCACAGTACCTTCTGGCAGCGCGGCCATGCTTATGCAATGAGGCCAAGGCAGCGAACTGCTCTCACGTGCTGGGTGGTGTCCCCAGCTTGGGGCAGGTGGTGAGAGGTGGTGGGCACAGGTGGGCCACACAGGGGTGGGGGGCTCGGGGCAGATGGCCCCCACCTGCTCTTCTCTGCCCTCTGATGGGTGCAGACAGGGGAATAATGACCAGGGCTGGGAGTGAGGGAAGCCCAGGGGACGAGCACAGCCCGGGAGTCAGCAGGAATAACATCTGAGCTGAGACCCAGAAGATGAGTTGAAAGATGAAAGGCAATGGAGAATGGGCCTTTTGTCCAAAATGTGATTCTGTTCCGTCAATGAATCCCGTTCAGTTCAAGCTCCTCTTACTGCAGAAAAATATTCTGGCTCCACACTTGCCAGTGTCCCTCTCTGTGGCCTATGAACCCTCCCTCTGGACTCAATCCAATCACCAGCATTTACCAAGCACCTCCTCTGTAGCAGGCTTGGTGCCTGGAAGCAAGACCCCTGCCCTCAAAAAGTAAGACCCACGCCCACTGTCCAGCCTCTGCTGCTGACCCCCAGGGGCACCTACCCCTGGACAGGTGAGGACCTTACCTGCTCTAACTCCTTTCTTCGGCAGACTATCCTATGAAGTGGCTGTATTATCATCGCCATTTCACAGATGAGAACACCGCATCAGAGAGCAGCTATGTAACTGGTCTGAGGTTACGCAGTCATAAGAGGCAGACCTGGGGGTCAGACAACGTTGAATCAAAGATAGAAAAGTAAAAATGAGGAGGTGGAACTTTCAGGGTGGCTTTCAGTGGGTCTTAGATATGAAAGTCTCCAGAAAGGAAGGTTTCAGCAGGGCATGGCTATATGGGCCAGGGCAAGAGAGACCTTGGCACGTAGCTTGGGCAACGGCCATTCTGCACGGCTGGGTCAGAGGGAGTAGAGGGAGAGAACAAAGTGAGTGAACAGCGTTTCTGAACGCTGGCTACGTGCACAAGCGCCTCAACGTCCTCAGCCAGCAACACATCCACAACAGCCTGTGCAGCCGGTGCTACAATTTAGATCCCATTTTACAGCTGGGTAAGCTGAGGCTCAGAAAGGTCAAGACCCTGGAGAGACCCCACAGCTGAGTGGTGGAGCCATCAAGCATGGAGCCTGTGCTATAGGAGGCTGTCTAGGCGGGCAGAGCAGGAAGTCGGCTATCGAGGTCTGGCTTTCCCTTTCAAACGGTGTTTGATCCCTTCAGATCCCTAAACCTTGGACCTCATCTGTCACGTTTACCTGCTGTATCCCAGGAGCTTGTCAGGGCTTGGCACCTAGAACTCACGGCTCTCCCCCCGCACCCCCAATCACCACACACACACACACATACAACACATGATAAATCATGGAGAGAAAGTGCCTTCCAAGAGCACCTGGGTCCCCCTGACAAGTGGCCCACACTTTTCTGGCCAGCTTAGAATGGCAGCCCCTCCTGCCTCCAGCCCCTGCCTTCTGTCCAGCCTTTGCCAAGGGGCCCAGATGTTTCTACTCCTGGTCCTGTCATGCCTGTGGCTGTCCATGGATGGGTCCATAGGGCAGGATTACCTGGAGGCAGATGCTTGGTTCTCCGGGTCAAGCCCTGTATCTTTCTGTCTGCAGGTCCTTGTCCCAAGGTGCTCACACTGGCCTGTAGATGGACAGCTCCAGCCTGGAACAGAGTGTGCGTGGGTGTGTGCGCGTCTGTGTGGCCGCCAGCAGCGTCAGGGGGGAAGAGGCAGGGGGGTAGAGGCAGTGTGGTACGGTGGGTGGCTGCATGGGGGCTGGAGCCAGACCATCTGGGCTCTGGTCCCCAACCAAGACAGCACCAGGGACTGCCCCATGCCTCTGTTTTCTCACCTGTAAAATCAAGATAAAACAGTACTGATCCAAGGATTCTATGGGAGAATACCCGGAAAGTGCTTAGAACAGACCCCTGGTCCATAGCGCTTAATAAGAACCAGCTGCTGCTGCTGCTGGCAGCTGAGTCTGCCTTTGCTTTTTGCTCCTATGTGAGTCAGAGACTGGCCGAATTCAGCTAAAATAATGGTGTCGTAGCTGCTAACAGCACCTGTGAAGGACAGTAGGTCTGAGTTTCACAGATCCTCTTGCAGCCGGACAAGGAGGGCAATGGTGTGGACAGAGGCAAACTGAGCTCCCTGGGCTGGCCACACCCCCCTGGACCGGACCTGGATGGGAGCCCCTCCTGCCGGCTGGCTCTGAGGACCCTGCATCCTTGATCTGGAAATCCTCCCCAGCAGAGGACGGTCCAGCTGCGTCCTGCGGGTCCCTGGCTGTGCGCCCGAGTGCCAGGTCTGACGTGCTTTGCTCTCCTTTCCCAGCACTGGTCCTGCTCGCTGGTCGTGGCCTCTCTCGTGGGCGCCTTCGGCTCCTCCTTCCTCTATGGGTACAACCTCTCAGCGGTGAACGCCCCCACTCCGGTGAGTGCCCGCGGCAGCGGGATGTGCCCAGCAGAGGGCGCTGCGGCAACGCGGAAAGCCGGGTGTTACCGCCTAGCCCGGGGTGGTACCCCATTCTGCAAACATCTGCAGGCCGGTTCTGTGCCAGACCCTTGCTGGACACTGGGGTGAAGGGAGGGCCAAAGAGAGAGACCAGCCCCTGCCCTCGAGGGGGAGGTGGGAGATACAGAAATAGAGGATGATGACAATTCGTGAGGTCAGTTCCCTCCCTGCTCATGCAGGGTCCTGGGAGAGTGTAGAGAGGAGAGGGATCTTCGGAGGTCCCAGGGGCCAGATCCTAAGGGTCTTATTCCAGGGCAAGGAACACGAAATCTGAGGCTTACGGAGGGATCTTAGGCACAGAAACATTTCCCTGATCTGCTTTTTCTTTGTTTATGGCTTTTAATCACAGCTGGAGATCACTTGAATATCTGTTGGTTTAAGATCCATTGCTGGCTTTTGTTTTCTTCTGAAATCAGGTCATTAGGTGCAGTTCCCCAGGCCCTCCTAACACCACTCTGCTGGTTTGCCGATGAAGCTTTGGTTCTCACCCACCTAGGCTGTTAGGTTTAGATGCTACCCATTCCTGGGGGTGCTGGCTTCTGCTTGACCTACCTCCATCCCTGGGGTAAAGTGGATGGGTCGATGGTGGTATACAGGAAGTCTTCCTGGAGGAGGTGATGCCAGAGCTGCATCTTGAAGGTGGAGCAAAAGCACTGAAGCCTGAGATATGAAACATTTGCAGAAATGCAGGTCTGATGCTGTTGGAGCCCAGGATGTATTTTGGACAGCATAAGGGCATGAGCTACAGAGGCAGACAGAAGCCAGGCTGTGGACCTTTGTGGGTGCTTTTAAGGCTTTTCTTTGTTTGGGGGCCCAGCATGCTGTGTGCAAAACATAGGGGGAAGCTGGACCAGTGGGTCACAAAGGGGCCCCAGGAGCCCTGCACTTTGCAGAAGTGCCTCAGGGATCCAAACTCCATCTGTACTAGAACAGCACTTTTTTTATTCTGTTAACTCTTTTACATTTTAGGGGCTGTGTAAGTTCATTTGAAAAATTGATTCTGATACTAAAAACAGTGAAAACCAGCGGGTCTAGATGGCTTCTCCGAACGCTTGCATTAATCAACGGCTTTGATTTTGTCATTGTGATGTCATCCTGAGATGGGATCCAATTTGTCCATATTTGTCTTTAAGAGGATTGGGAATATGCACTCTTGCTTCATCTTGGTAATCCAGCAGAGCCTCCGGCAGAGGGTGGAGAACCTTTACACTCATGGCTTATAATGCAAGGAGACGTGTAAAACTTGAACCTGGAATAGAATGATATGAGTAGAAAAGTAGTAGTTCAAGCAATGACCGTGGGAACACGAGGAAGGAGCAGTCCTGTCATTCACTCATGCAAAAAATGTTTTTAATTAATAAACTTTATACTTCAGAGCAGTTTTACGTTCTCAGCAAAACTGAGTGGAAAGCACAGAATTCCCATATACCCCCTGCCTCCACTCCCCCACTGTTAACATCCTGCACCAGAGCAGTACCTTTGTTATAACTGATGAACCCACCTTGACACATCATTATCACCCAACGCCCACAGTTTATATTAAGGTTCACTCCTTGTGTTGTACTTTCTATACATTTTGACACACGTGTGATGACTTGTACCCACCACTATAGTATCTTACAAAATATCTTCACTGCCCTAAACATTCTCTGTGCTCTGCCTGTTCATTCCTCCCATCCTCACCCTGGCAACCACTGATCTTTTTACTGTCTCTGTACAGGCACATCTTGCTTTATTCCCTTTGCTGTATTGCAGATATTGTATATTTTACAGATTGAAGGTTTCCCTTTCCAGAGTGTCATATCGTTGGACTCATACAGTGTATAATTTTTCAGGTTGGCTTCTTTCACGTAGTAATATGTATTTAAAATTCCTCCGTGTCTTTTCAAGGCTTGAAATCTCTCTTTTTTTTTTTTTTTTTTTTTTGCGGTATGCGGGCCTCTCGCTGTTGTGGCCTCTCCCGTTGCGGAGCACAGGCTCCGGACGCGCAGGCTCAGCGGCCATGGCTCACGGGCCCAGCCGCTCCGCGGCATGTGGGATCTTCCCGGACTGGGGCACGAACCCGTGTCCCCTGCATCGGCAGGCGGACTCCCAACCACTGCACCACCAGGGAAGCCCGCTCATTTGTTTTTGATTCCGAATAATATTCCATGGTCCGGCTGTACCTCAGTTTATTTATCCATTCACCTACTGAAGGACATCTTAATTGTATCCAAGTTTTGGCAATTATGAATAAAGCTGCTATAAACATCCATGTACAGTTTTTTGTATGGACATAAGTGTTGAATTCATTTGGGTAAATACCAAGAAGCATGATTTCTGGATTGTATGGGGAAAGTATGTTTAGTTTCATAAGAAATTGACAAAATGTCTTCCTAAAGTGGCTGTTCCGTCTTGCATTCCCACCAGCAGTGAATGAGAGTTCCTGTTGCTCCACATTCTCACCAATATTTACTGTTGTTAGTGTTTTGGATTGGATATTCTAATAGGTTTGTAGTGGTATCTCATTGTTTAATTTGCATTTCCTCAATGATATATGATGTAGAATGTCTTGTCATATCCTTCTTTGCCATTTGTATATCTTCTTTGGTGAGGTGTCTGGGTCCTTGGCCCATTTTTAAATCAGATTTGTTTGTGTTATTCTTGAGTTTTAAGAGTTCTTTATATATTTTGGGTAATAGATCTTTATCAGGTATGTCTTTTGCAAATATTTTCTCCCAGTCTGTGGCTTTTTTTCTCATTCTCTTGACATCTTTTGCAGAGCATTAACTTGTAATGAAGTCCAGATTATAAATTATTACTTTCATGAATCACACATTTAGTGTTTTATCTAAAAAGTCATCACCATACCCAAGGTCATCTAGATTTTTCTCCTATGTTAAAAATTTTAGGAGTTTTATAGTTTTGCATTTTACATTTAGGCCTTTGATCCATTTTGAGTTAACTTTTATGAAGGGTGTAGGATCTATGTCTAGCTTCTTTCTTTTTCCCCTTTTTTGCATGTGGATGTCTATTGTTCCAGTGCCATTTGATGAAGACTATCTTTGCTCCATTATATTGCCTTTGCTCCTTTGTTAAGGATCAGTTGACTATATGTGGGTCCATTTCTGAACTCTCTTCTGTTCCACGGATCTGCTACTCTTCTTTTACCAATACCGCACTGTCTCGATTACTGTACTTTATAGTAAGTCTTGAAGTAGCGTAACATCAGACCCTACTTTGTTCTCCTTCAATGTTGAGTTGGCCATTCTGGGTCTTTTGTGTCTCCATATAAACTTTAAAATCAGTTTGTCAGTATCCGCAAAATAACTTGCTGGGCTTTTGACTTGTATCGTGTTAAATAGATCAAGTTGGGAAACTGATATCTTGACAATATTGAGTCTTCCTGTCTAAGAACATGGAATATCTCTCCATGTACTCAGTGGAATATTTTCTCCCAAGGACAGGCCTCGTGAAGAAGAACAGAATGCTCTGATATAGTTCAGAATGGTTCCTTTTCCCCTCCCCTGCTGGAAGCATAAGGGGACTTTTCTGACAGTCCCTGTGAGAATCTGGTAGGGCCCCTGGAGGTAAAACTCACAAAAGGGGGACGGATATGACTGGGTGCCGAGGGATATTAACTCTCAGACTTGTCCACACTGAGCCTTCAGCAGTTCATTAATTACAGTTCAGGTTTTCCTGCCCTGGCACTGGTTTGCTGCTGTGCATTTTTGCTCTGGTTAAGTTGTGATTCTCTGTATCTACCTGTCTCTCCAGTTTGGGGAGATGCCCAGCAGTGAGAGATGCTCAGGGTAGAGATGGGAACACAGGCTGGTGGAAGGGCTTTATGTTATCCCAGGCTTGAGAGAGAGCGGCAGGCTTCCTGGGAATGGTGCAGAGAGGGAGCGGCCCGATTGTGGGGTCCAAAGGGCTGGAGGGGGAGGAGGCTGGGAAGGAGGCCAGGGCCAGCTCAAGGAGGATCACAGGCACCGGAACAGGAGCCCGAGTCAGCACCACCCAGCCTGCGAGCACTGGAAGCGGGCTGGGGGCCATGGCTCAGCCCGGGAGCCCCTCCCAGGGCGGAAGCTGCCTAGAGCTGGAGGAGCTGGAAGAGCTGGAGCCGGGCAGGCCTGCACGGGGACCCCAGCTCCCTTGGGAGCCCCAGATCCTGACAGGTGGTGACAATCCCCTGGCAAAGTGGCCAGGAGGATGGAAGGGGGCCCGAGGCTGGAGGGGCTCAGCCTGTGGCCAGCGATCACTCAGAAACCTCTTCCCTTTGCTGTGGGCCTAGGTGTGGGCAAGCGAGGCAGCCCCAGGGTCCAGGAGACCAGTATGGGAGCAGAGAGCCCAGGGAGCCGGGTCTAACGCAGGTGGGAAGGGCCCACGCCTGGTGGTGGATTTCTGTGCCGGCGTCAGACTTCACCGGGGCTCTGGCCTCTCGGAAGGAGAAAGAAACTCTCGGACCCAGGAGATGCAGATGCTGGGGTCTGGGGGTGACGGTCCACAGACATGGTGAGCAGAGGCTGCCGCCGGAGGTGCTGATGAAAATAAGTCACAGCGAGGACACCTACCCAGCAGAAGGGATGCTGGTTTAGCGATGACACGGGGTCCGGAGGCCCCTGCCCACCAGCTTCGCCTCTTGAGTAGTGGGATAACCAGGTCCAAGGTGGGGGTCGGAGGAGCAGAGGGACTGCAGGCCAAGGCCATCCACCCTCAGGCAAGGCGGAATTTCACCACGTGAACAGTCCAGGCAGTAGCTGGCGCTGGTCCTGGCCGCCACCTGGCTGCATCTCACAAGCATTCCATGTTTCTCTCGCCTCAGATATTTGGAAACTTTCTGGAAAGCTGATGATGAAAATAATGCCCACTGTGGCGCCGACCGTGCTGCCCCATTAGGGACGGTATCAGATTTCATCCTCATTACAGTCCCCAAGGGAGCC